GACTGTCCAATTTGACTCATTGTCACCGAGCTGATTCTGACTCACAGTGACTCCAGAGGACAGGGCAGAACTGCCCTTGTGGGTTTCTGGGACGGTAACTCTTTAGTAGAAAGCCTCATCTTTATCTTGCCTGAAGACTATAGTCAATCTATAATTTATACTTGACAAAAAATAGATGGGGTAAATGTCCTAAACATCCTACATGGTCACTTGTCTTTGATTTTGGATGTTATCAAGTCTGGGTAGGTAATATGATCACATATACAGTTTATTAATATATCACATCAATACATTGTATTACTATATAATAATAAACATATTAAATACACACATAAATACACTTAAGGGTTCAGGACCATTATATCTTAGGGAACACTAAGGTTAAGTGAGAACCCTAGGCTCATGATTCTGAAATTAGAAGGATTACATAGTGCCTGTCTCCCACTGTTCACCTGCCTGAAGGAGATCACAATTGGCAGCACTGGATAGAGTGGGAGAAAAATGTTAACTGAAAACTGGAGAAAACCTCAAGACCATGACCTTTTACATCCTTCAAATTTCAACTAAACAACAGACCTACAAGGTGGACAAGAACACCAGGGAGGGCACACTCCGTAGAACAATCAGCCATTGGAGATAGAAGGGCAACATATGCCAAGGGATAAGCTCAGAAGGCAAGAAAGGACAGGAAAGAAAGATGAACAGAAGCAGTGAACACAGGGGAAGGGTACAGAGTGGGGATTGCAATAAATGTCATGAATCATAATGTGTATACATTGAAGACAAAAAAGAAAACCCAATTAACTGTAAATTTTCACTCAAATCACAACGAAAAGTTAAAAATAAATGAAAGAGTGGATTTGGGTGAGTGTGGTCACCTTTGTAAGATATGATACCATCACAGATCTCTTTGAAGATCTGAGCAAGGCGGGCTGCTCGAGCTACTTCAATGTTTTCTTCTGCAGCTGCCAACCGTCTAGTCCGGACAGACCTCGCTGTCTGCAGGGCGGAGAACTGGGTCATGAAGACATCTGCAAGGGTAAATGAAACTCCGTTTCAGAAAAAGAGAAGTGCTATGTGGCTTTCACTTCCCCAGTGACTGCTGCCATTTGCTCCCTATTTTCCTTCAAGTGACTCAATAAATTAGTGGGCATGGTATTCTTTCTCTTTACCTTAGTAAAAATGTGGCAAACACCGGAATTTATCAGAAGGATAAATGCTACAAGTAGAGAGAGACCTAAATTACTCCCTTAGAGGCTAAGCTATATTGTATAGTAGTTGTGTAAGTCTAACCTCATTACTTACTACTTACTTTAGTTTGGAGGTTCTCGTATACATTAAATAATACTTTTAATTTGGTTAGCTTAGTGACTGACATACAAGGGGGTTTCAAAAACAATTGTGGAAAATTTCCATTACTTCTTAATTCTATTTTCCATGAATTTTTTGAAGCTCTTGTATAATACTTATTACCAGAAGATTCAAACTAATACTTAATACTTCTACTTGTTAAAGGGTAAGATAGCAAGAAGATGGTCTGAACATTTCATTTCCAGTGAAGAAAGGTGCTTGGCCCTGGCTGTTCCATGATTCCAGTCTACTTTGACAAATCAGAAGATCTGTGTGTAGCGTGCTCATCTGAAGGTGGGGCAACAAAACCTTCAGACTGATAATAGATGTCATTCAATCACCAGTGCATCTGAGAAGGGAACACAGAGTAAGCCTACTACCTATCTTGAGCCACGTGGCTAATTTCAGGTTGGAAGATCAAGTTTGGAAGGCCGCCAGCGGGGAATTTTCCCTATTCATTATAAGATACACAGCAAAGTTAAAGAGCTCGTCTGTTTGAATTGACTTATTTTTTGCACTTGAATGTAGCTAAAAATAAAAACAAAAAAAGAAAAAGAAAGAAAGTACCTAAAATAATCACTTTTAATAGAATCTTATGAAATGAATAAGAGTGGTTCCTTGGACCTTACCAGACTTGATGTTCCCGTCATCTCGGCAGATGCCATTCCATCGGGTATATAATGATACCGAGTGAATATTATCACTGGTGTGCTTTACTTCTTCCTGTTTCTGCCGAATCTTCTCCCAGTTTCGGACTAAGAACACATGATGCTTTAATACAAAGTTTCTTCAAGGAAGAAAGAAAGGAGTTTAATTATTTATGAAATCAGTTACTATTTGTGATATGACTACTCTATGCAAGTCACTATTAGTTGATATAAGTGTATACTTACCAGTGAACGGAGCAGTTGTAAAGGGGCCTCAAAAAGTGCATTAAAAAATGGAATGAAAACATAATGGAAATTTCTCATGAACTTTTTGAAGCCCCTTCTAAGAAGGTGAAAACATTCTTTAAAAATTCCTAGTGACAGGAAAGAGGGAACCAATTACAAGGATCTACATGTGACCTCCGAATTTACAAATTATCAAGGGCTCATGAGGGAGGGGGGAGCGGGGAGGGAGGGGGAAAATGAGGACCTAATGTTGGGGGCTTAAGTGGAGAGGAAATTTTTTGTGAATGATGAGGGCAATGAATGTACAAATGCACTTTGCACAATCGATGTATGTATGGATTGTGATGAGAGTTGTATGAGCCCCTAATAAAATGATTTAAAAAAAAATCCTAGTGACCATCATACTCAGAGGGTCAATATGAGTCAGAATTGACTCATGGGCAGTGAGTTTGAGTTTTGAGTGAGTTTGAGAGTACCAAGTGAGTATATTTTAAAGGTTAAAAATAGCACAGCTCTATGATAATAAAAGCACAAGTAAGTAAGACACATAAGTGGGAATTCATATAATTATATTAATTATATACTTTGGTTCATCAGATAACCTTAGAGAAATGCAAATAAAAAATGCAATGATACGACCTCGCCCCTCTTAAAAGTGGCAATGATTAGGAAAAAAAACCATGAAAATGGTGGTTATTCAAAATGTTTAATATCGAACTATCATATGACCCAGCAATCCCAATGCTACATATATAATTCCCAGAAGTAAAGGCAGAAAGACAAACAAAAACCTATATACCAATATTCATCTGTTCATCACAGTACTAATCACAAAAGCCAAAAGGTGAAGCAATCAAAATGGCCACCAACAGATGAACAGACAAGAAAATGTGGTATAGACACATAGAGGAATACTACTTAGCCACAGGAGGGGATGAAGTCTAAATGCATGTCACTACATGGAGAAACATCATGCTGAGTGAGACAAGTCAGTTGTAAAAGGACAAATATTGCATGATCTCACTTAAATGAAATAAATAAATGAAATAAATAAATAAATAAACAGAAGCCAAAGAAAAGGGAAGTTTGCTTTTAGGGGCACTGAGTTTATGTCAATAGTAATAGAATAATTGAAAAAGGATTGTGAGAATGGTTGCAAAACTTGAAGAATGTAATCAATGTCACTGAATTGTACATGTATAAATGTTGACAGAGAATGTTTTGTTATGTTTATTTTTACTACAATAAACTTAAAAACACAAAAACAAAAAGTAACATAGATCATTCCTTTGAGATGCTTTTGTCTTATTTTTAAATTATGGGGGAAAATGGAAAGAGAAAGACACAAAATTCATCCATAAATCTTGTTACCAACAAAATGCCCAAACCCAACCACACTGCCATTGAGTCACTTCTGACTCACTGCATCCCTAAAGGACAGACAGAGCCCAACTGCCCCTTTAGATTTCCGAGGCTGGACACCTTCAAGGGAATAGAAAGTCTCACTTTTAAACTGCTAACCTCGAGGTTAGCAAGCTAACGCATAACCCAGTATGCCACAGGGCTCCTTCTTGTTACCAATAGTCCTTAAAGACATTTTAGTGTGTTGCCATTCAGATCATATCTTGGTGTATTTTTTCCTTAATTGTGATACTCAATTTTGTACCTTGGCATTTCTCACCTAATCTGTTTTCCCATTCTATTCACAAACAACTGGCCAACAATATTTTGATATCTGCGGAAACTAGCGGCAGTTAGTGAAGGGCGGTGCTTTATGGAGTATTTGCAAAAATTCTGAAGAAATTGTCAATGAGGCATGGGATCAGTTATCACAAGGAGAGACGGACTGGCAGATACATGTCAAAGATATACAAGTTAGCCTTGAAAAATGAAGAGTAGACTTGAATGAAAACGTGCTGAGCAGAGTTAGGTGCCGTACTTCCACACAGATCTAAATTTAAAGGAGTTATGAGTATCCTGACCGACCCTATAGTTTTGGTGATTCTATTTGAATTTTACCCTAGCACATATATGAATGTATATAACCTTGCTTAAGTCACAAAGTGTGGGCCTCAGTAGAATGGAGCATTAGGATAATTTTATAGTTCTTGAACTTGGCTGTCCACGGGAGTTACACAGGGACCTCTAAAAATTACTCTGCATGAGTTCCATCTTTGGAAATTCTGTTGTAAGCCGTCGGGAGACTATGGCCTCAGAGCCCTGGTGGTGAAGCGGGATAAGAGCTGGTCCCTAACAGAAGGCCGACAGCTTGAACCCACCAGCCATTTGTAGGAGGAAGATGCAGCAGTTTCATCCTGTCCTTTAGGGTTCCTATACGGTTAGAATCTGCTTGATGGCAGTGGGTCTGGTTTGGGTTGGGTTGGTAGCTTGGGCACTGGGATTTTTTTAAAAGCTTTCTCGGCTAATGTGCAGTCAAGGTGGAAAACTAATGGACTGTTTTTGTGAAGCTTAACATTCTATGATTCGGTGTGAAACACAATGAAAGGGGTTAAAATTGCCGTCAGGTTTTAAATAAGGATGAACTCTTTAAGATATTGAACGAAAGAGTGAAGGAGGTTGTGAAACAACAGTTCAAGAAAATCTGAGAAATAGATGTATTCATTGGACTTACTTCTGAAAAGGACACATTTTGTCTAAATATAGAGCATATCAGGAATGACTATGGTGATCCTACACCAACCCCCTTTCAGTGTCTTAAAGTACAATAAAATATATAGAGCTAAAGGGAAACAAAATACATTGAAACATTTTTTAAAAACCATGTAAAATTCAGGAGATATACATATACATTACTTCTTTTTTTCCCCTTCAATTAGCAATAATTGCGCCTCGGGTACACCTCATTGGCTACGATATTGCCAATGCGCAAAGCTGCATTACTTCTTAATGCATTAAATGCCAAGATTTAGTGGGGAGTGTCTAACAATCATAGCATATTTTGAGACAGTGCTGTGCATAAATGGTTATTTTAAGATATGTGGAGCACCTGGAATCTGATAGGATGCTGTTGCTTTGCCTACAATCAAAATTGAGGGAGATGCTAAATTTCCATTAGAAATTAGAGAAGATAAAAATTCAATTTCCCATCCAAACTATAGATGCCCCAATCTTCTGGCTAAGACCTTCTGTATTAAAGTAACAGGCTCAATTATAGAGATAAGGACATTTTTTAACTCACAGAAAACTACATAATAAAAAAAAATTCAAGCGAGAAAGCTGCCTTTTACCTCTCTCGATTGGACATTGGCTTCATCTGTAATTGAGGGGTCAGTCTTGTTGGGGGGTTGATGTGTTCACTGGACTCCTCAGAGAGGTGGCCTCGCTGAAAGACAGGTGGATCAGATTGCAGAAAAACAAGATCAATTAGGAATCACTCTGCTATTTCCTTCATTCTAAGAACTGCCTCTAAGCAGCTGTTTGGGGGAAAGGCACTCATTACTTACCCTCTTCTTCAGTTTGTGCTTGGACTTCCGCTTCTCTTTGGAGCGCGCAGGTTTCCTGTGTGTGCCCATGGGCTGGCTGCTTTTGCTGCTGCTGAGTCCAGTCATGCGCTGACTCTTGCCTCCAATGATTCCTCGACATTTCTCAAAGCCACACTTACACAGTTGCTTTGAAGAGAAAGCACAGTTAACTTTGTTAACACGCAGTCTTAGAAATTCAAAGATGATGCCTGAGGGTCTGAGTACTTAAAAATAAATCTGAAATCGAGGAACTTTTATACAGCGTAGTAGAAATTAGATGCTTGGGACAGAAAGAGGCTTTCAATGCAATACAAAAGGCAAGGTTAACTTTAAGAAGACTTCATTATCAGAAGAGGTAAGAACTAATTGGAAACCAAAACTGATGGGGCACCTTCTTTATCCTGAGACCTAGGAAACCTATGGGGTAGTTCTATTCTGTTACAGTGTCCTCATGAGTCAGAAATGACTTGAAGGTATGTTATATCGCATTTAATCCAGAAGCAGCAACAATGAACTCGAACATACAATCATGAAGATGGTGGAGGACTGGGCAATATTTTGTTCTGTTATACAAAGAGTTGGAGCCATACGTTGGCGCTGACTCAAGGGCAGCTAATAACATATAAATCACATACGTGTAAGAAGAGTGAAAAAATTGCTTTGTTTGATGTACTTCTCAATGGCCACAAGTCAGTAATGCTCCACTATGTTAAAGTTTAATCACCTTCTTAGGTTTATTATTCTTACCTGCTTTTCAACATTAAAGGAATGAAAGTTATAATCATAAGTGAGTTCGGTTCCAGCTGGCATGTCTTTAAGAGCATACAGCCCAATCCGGTATACTCCATTAACAGACCTATAAAGAGAGACAAGAGTTAAAAGATGGGATCCTTTATACCATACCTGACAGCTAGAAAAAGGACTACAATTACTGACTTCAAATTTGCTTTGTTTTTGTATTCAATTCCTGGGTTCTAAACATTTTTCCCACAAAATATTTTTTCCATGTCATTTCTCCTTTATTCAGACTATCATCATTTCCTTCCAAGAATGCAGTCTCCAGGGTGCTCTTTCAGCTTTTGATCTCCTCTCCACTGTATGTCGCTTGTCATACTAAACGGCAGTTTGCTTGAAAGCATGCTCTATGCAGTCAATTTCAATTGTTATTTGCTGTCCAGTTGACTCTACTTCGCCTCATGGAGATCCCAGGTGTCAATTATAATAAGGTTTTTAACCTTTCACACTTTGTATTCAAAGTTTCTCTATAATATGGCTTTATTCTACTTACTAAGTAAATTGAAATTATTTCCTACTGACCTCCATCTTTCTCACCTCAACGTAAGTATTATATCTCATTACCTTCTACCCATGTCATGAAGGATTTAGAGTGTACTGGGCTGGATGATTCAGAGCTCCGGTGGCATAGTAAGTTTAAGTGCAGGGCTATTCACTGAAAGATTGGTGGTTTGAACCTACCAGGTGCTTCAGGACAGAAAGAAGAACTGACTTCTGTAGATTTACAGCCTGAGAAACCCTCAGAGCAGTGCAACTCTGTCCTATATGGTCTCTTATGTGTTGCAATAGACTCGACAGTAGTGGTTTGGTTTTTGGTTTAGGGCTTTATACATAATGATAATTATTGTTATTAGCACTAGCATTTATGGAATGTTTGTTAGAGTATTTTTCACATTAATTGATTTAACCCTGCTAATGGCTGTATGAAATAGGTGCTATTATTAGGTATGATTATAACCCTGTTAGTAATGTCTATACTGAGATACAGAATGTAAGTAATTTGCCCCAAATCATATAGCTACCTATACCTAGGGGAATTAGGTTTGAAAAAAGGTAGTTCAATCGCTTCTCGGCCTTTTGGCTAAGATCAAGTGTAGTAAAAGGTAGTCCATTATACCATACTGATAATCAATCATTAAACATCCCTTGAAGTATTTTAATCCCCATTTTATATATATGAGCTATATGTAGCTCAAATAGTGATTACAATAATACAGCAGTTAAGTGTCCTTTAAATCTCGGGGATTAAAATTCAGGCTTTTTGATTCCACAACCTCTCTTCCTTCTTGCCCCCTTGCCAATGTGGAGGAATGTTAACTTTCCGAGGTTTAGCACTGATATTACTCTACTATATGTAACCTCGTATCTCTCAAGTCCTTAGTATGATTGACTTTTCTGAATTCAGAACGCATGTCTGGTCTATTCCAGGGTCAGCACACTATGGTCTCCAGCTATATCTATATCTACTTTTTGGGGGGTGGGGAGAATAAATAAACCCAATGGGGATAATGGGGCACAGCCACTCCCACAGGTTTATACATGGTTTGCTGCGTCTTTCACATCATGGCAAACCTATGCTTACAAAGTCTAGAATATTTACTATGTGGTCCTTTATCGTAAAAAGTATATAGTAGGGGAGTTCCTGGGTGACAGAAATACATTCAAGCTGTTAACTGAAAGGCTAGACGTTAAAGCCCATCCAGAGGCACCTTGGAATAAAGAACTGGCAAGCTCCTCCAAAAATATCAGCCAATGAAAGCCCTAAGGAGTATGGCTGTACTCAGACATATGGGGCTGTTGAGTCAGAATCAATACAACCATAACTGGTGGTGTCCAGTATGTGGCCCATAGCATAACAATCATCCAAGGGCAAAGTTTAGAGGGTTAGAAAAGGAGGAATGGAAACAGGAAACACAAGGAGGAAGTATTGTAAATGATGTTACATTATGAGGATTGCAATTAACAATACGAAACAAAAGTGCATGAATTGTTGATGGAAAGTTATTTGTTCCATAAATCTTCATTCAATTCACAAAAACTTTCAAAAAATGCAGTAACATTAAAAATATCATTATATAGTCTCTTATGTTAAAATATATATTTTGGTACTGAGAGCAGTAAGTCAGTAGGAAGAGTTGTAAGAGCCCTAATAAAATGATCTTTTAATAATAATAATAATAATAAACCAGTCACTAGGTTGGTCCGTCTTAGGCAAACAGCAGAGTTAGGTAGTAACTAAATAACCAAGGCACAAACTGATATCAGCTAGGACAACCAGTTGGGCTCAGGCATATGGGGTATGGAATGTGGAGACCAGTAGAAAGTGGGGGGGGGGGGCATCTGCGGGAAGGGAGAGAAACCTCTCGGGCAAAGCTTGTGACTAACCTCATAGTACACAGCCAGTGAGGAACTGGGCAGGAGGCTTTCAAACTAGAGGATACAATGCTTTCAGAGGAGCTATGAAGGGCGTCTCCCCTTTTGCCCGATTTATCTTTGGGCTTGGGTGCCTGATTTTGTAAATGCTGAACAATAAAGGTCTCTTTCTCGCTAAAGTGAGTACGCACTGGATTTCTTGAGGATTTGCCGGTTAAAATTCCATGATAGACCACTGGCAAACTCATGTGGGATAAGGCAGTCCACCCAGTTCTCTCTCAAGAGACCCATTGGAGTATGGCCCAGGTCAGGGGTTTATACTGATCTCCCAGTTACCAAGAGGAACCAATACAGTGTCTGGAATTTCAACATTTCTCACAGAACAATGAAATTTTCTTCCATGTTTCCTTTGAGAGAATGGAGTAGTGCATACAAATCTAAAGTGCAGCTTGCTGAATTGGTACTTAAGCATGTAACAATCATCTAGGCACTTATACAAACAATGTGATACATCTGTGAAAGTACTTCTCTCCAAGCACTTAGCACCTTCCCCAGAAAGGATTGCCAGTATTCTGACCTCTCTCAGAGTAGGAGGAGCCCTGGTGACACAGCCCCATAGCAGGTGACTGACTAAAAGGATCATAGTATGAACTTACCCCAGCTGCTTCAAAGGAGAAAAATCTATTGTTTTATGCTCCCACAAAGACTACAGCCTAGATGGACTTCCAGGCAAGATGGCGACCAAGTAGTACACATGGCAGGGACTCCGTGGAGAACAGCACAAGAGGAGCCACTGAGAGGGACAGAGGGATATGCTACATTTCCAGACAACAGGATTTTCAGCATAAAAATAAGTAGACAAAAATTTACTAAAATTAGAGAGCAGAATCCCCTTGGTCATCTCTCTGCATTAGATTCCCAGGTCTGTGGATAGAGGAGGTAGCTTGTGGGGAGGAGCAGCAGAGCTGCAGGAATGTAATTCTAAGGGACCAGCCAGGGCGGATAAAAATATAAATAGCTTTGGCTCTCCCAGAGGCCAGAAGAGCCCTGCTAAAGTAACCCACAGTCCTGGCTCCTCAGTGGGGACAACACAGCCTACTGAGGTGTGCTGGGGTGAGTCAGCAGGACAGCTAAGAGTGGTGTAAGTGGAGAACACAAGCTCAGGGAGGGAGCTCCAGCTCCATTCAGCACATCTAATCCCCCCTCCCTGAAGTACAGCTCCACCAATTCCATATCCCAAGATA